TATTCATAGTTTTAGAATTCAGAGAGCTAATCTTACAGAATGTTCTTTAACTTCTTCCAAAATTGAGAAATTTGAGTCAAAGGAAGGTGAGCGTAGCAAAAGGCAAAAAATTTGAACAACGGAAACTTAATCTAAATTACCAAAACATCTTTCTATTCCTGGTATGTTTGGTTAGGAAGTGAATAAGATACCTGCATTTTGGGAATTTTATCAAACGGGAGGACGCGGAGTAGAGAAAGCCAAGAGTACTGGAGATAGGAGTGGACACTACTTGGCTTGCTAATGTGTGGCACGAGCGACATTATCGAGGGAACTACCAAATATGTTGCTAACAGATTCAATCAAGCCTTACTTTGCGTGATATTCACATTGAAAGGGCATTATTTTCGTCTTTGATTGTCTAGTGGTTTGCTACTTAGGGGTTAGTGTTTTCGACTCACATGAAATATGTAGATTGAGTTCATGCCTATGCTGGCACACCTTTTTTTTGTGCAAATTTTACATAATTAATTATTTTACTTTATACGGATAAAATAAGCCATTTAAAAATTTTGCAAAAAAAAAAACATGTACTACATATTATAAGTATACATCACTATTATATTTCTTTCGATTAAATATTTTTTAACTCCTATGTTTAAATAATTCAAAGTTAAATATTTTAATTCTTGCGCATAAAAAAAAGAGCTGCTTTATCGTAGGTACGAACTGCAGATAGGTATATAGACTGTGAGTCGTAAATACTGCCCCTAAATCATAAACCAATAGACAATTAGGGAAGGAAAAGATTTGTAGATATCTTGTATAATGCGCTCCAATGTGAATGTTTAGGAAAGTAACGCCCATATACCGTGGAAGTACTCATTGCTTATTGCTAAAATTGGTTAGCATTATGTTTGTAAGTTGTGCTCGGTGGTTCGTTGCGCAGTAAGGTAGTGCGCATTCGATTTGACACGTAGGCAAGGTGATTTTGTTTATGTTTTGCGTTTGACAACTCATAATACCGACATTGATGAGCAATGGAGAAAAATGTTACCGTTTTCTCCTGTTACGTGTCGTTATTACTATGATCCTAAAGTTCATCTTGACAACAGGATAGCATAATGTAAATCTCGTAAGAGAAAAAGAGACAGATTAATTAAATTTCCTAGTTTTATAAAATTTAACAAAAATGGCAAAGTGTATAGTATCGGAATGTAAAGAAAGTGGATACCATTTCTCCCAAATAATAAAAAGTACAATTGTGGGTTGAAGCAATAAAACAATCAAAATTAACCAAATCATATTTAAGGTTATGTGCAGTATTTTGCAAAATATAACAAAGTTATATTTATCCTATAAATTTTTTGAACTGATGTTAAAAATAAAAGCATTTAACTGATCTTAAAATCTTCTACCGTTATTAAAGCAGTAGTAGCAATTAATGCTGCTTACGAGAATGTTATCTGTTCAGTATTCATCGTTTAATTAGACCTCAGATTGAAAAGTGAAAAGGAAAGTGTCTACATAATTGCAGAAGTACTTCTCCGAGAGCCTTCTGGGAACACCATCTCATATTGATTTTAACGTTAATTTGAACGCTAATGTACTTATGAACGCTAATGTACTTATACACAATATATACGTGCAATCTGAATTTAATAAAATTGGACAACAAAAAGAAATAAACAAGTGAATCCATTAACCACAGTAAGGATAGAGAGATTTATTTATAGAGCAGGGTTTCTTAACCTTTTTGTAGTTGTGGATTACCGAAATTTCAAGAATCACATGAATGCTTTTCTAATAGAATTATGGGAAAAGAAAACAAGGAGATTAAGCAGGCAAAGATGAGCAGCATCAGAACTATACAGGTACCAGTATGGGCAGGCAAAAGCCTTCATCATCTCTACGAAACCCAGAAACTGGGAATAACAAATTCTAAGCATAAAAGTCAGGATTTTTGTCGAAATTGTTTCGGACCACGGGAAGTTACACTACATCAGGAACAAAATTGGACCAACCATCTGGTGTTCCTGTCGTTTTGCGACGCGGAGGTGGAAAGTGCTATCCTTTATCCTCTGTCACTGTTTTGCTTTTGCTGAAGGTAAAAGTATCATTTTTGGTTGTCACCTTCTATTACCAGAAAACGTTACCCCTTGCGACGCCTAAATGATCTGTTCCTATTGGAAAGCTTCCTTTGACGTGTTAGCGGAAAACTAAAAGAGAAAAGCCAAGGGGATCACCTACACTATTGGATAACCTAAAACCGGAATATAATAATAAAACAAGGGAACTAATTTTTGATGCGAAACTCCTTTATGGGCAGTAAGAAGGAAATTTACTAGGGTATAAAACTGAAAAGCATCACGTCATGCGACACGCGTCGCACAACACGGGAATGTGAGAGTGAATATATCAGCATATTGACATTTCCACTAGTGTGACCCCCTAGTGAATATACCCAAAATGAGTTATTTTAAAAAACTTCAGAAGCGAACCTACTAGTAGCAATCGATGATCCTAAAGTTGCCATTTCGACAAATTGTTACCAATTCGCACCTACGAAAACTGTATATGTACAGTAAATGTGTTTGTGTTTGTTTTGATTTGTACTTCCCCTCTACAGCTTTATTATATGGCGGAAGCGTAAAAGTTTTTAACCAAAATAAACCAATATTCCACATTCGTCCACTCGAAATAAAGTTGTGTTTTTCTGGTGTTCAGTAATTAGTTAATGCAATAGTTTAAGCCAATTTTTTCAGAAATACTACTACAATATAAAATCTAAATTCACTTCTTATGCGTGTATCAGTATACACGCACGCCCCCTTTTTGGTCAGGCAGTACTGGACTTTGGACATTTAAGGGATAATAATAATTTGTGCTACAAATAAATGATGTTAGGTAGGTCTCACCCTAGGTTAAGAAACCCCGTTATAGAAACTTAAAAGTTCAAACTTCATCTTCTATTTTTCGTTGATTTAATTTTCGTTGGCTTAACAACTATATACCTATTCTTTAAAAGTATTACGGGATAAATGGAGTGGATACAAGTAGTTATCTACATATAAACGTTAAGTCATTACATTATGTACTATGGTAAGTAGGAATAATACTATCTAAATAATTTTAATCATAAATATTACGTTTTTCTTCACACTACTTTTGTGATGTAGATAAGCAATTGATGATTATTTTGTACACATATTCATTTTACATTCTAGTGTGACTAATTAATAATAGTAATACTTTTGAGTAGAAGGGCTTTTTCAATTAGCAGTTTTCAATTGAATGATACATCGCAAGGTAATAGTATTAAATACTTACTTTAACTTTTTGGCGACTATACTCTTAATAAATAACATATCACATTAGATATTCATAAAAGTCTAATACATGGCTTGGTTAAAGAATTTTATGTATGTAATAAATCGTAATGCATAATTCAAATATTTACACTGATTATTTATTTAAAGTAGTCTTAATTAGAAAATTCTTTCCGTTATAAAAATATTTTTGAATACCTATTAACGGTAGTATTTACATACATCGACTCTGTAACCGGATTTGGTACTCAAATTCATTCGTTCTGAATAGCTTCCACTTTTTTTGGCCTCGGGATCAACCATGTAGGTAAATGAGCCCAGTTTTTGGAAAAGATTCTGTCTTAGGCGGGTTTTATGCATATTCATTCATGAACGTCTATTCGAAAACTGACGTTTATAGTTCTATTGAATTTTGAATTGAACAGCATGTTATGTATAAGAATGCTTTTCGGCAAAGTATCAGTTTTTTTCTAGTAAAACCAACGAAAATATGGTCCTTTTTGGAGATCTTTCATGTTAAAGGAAACGAAGTACAGATTACGATACGTTCCTTGAAGTTGGATTCAAATAGGTAATACAATGCTGCCGACATAACCTAAATCGTCAAAGGGTGTAGAAGTGACATAGATGGTACAATAAAGGTAGCAACTGTCATACTATTAAACAAAACGAAAGGCATGCCCATCTGTCATGACAACACTCACTTCGTTCGTGTATCTTTGTGGCATTGCTTTGGACAGTGACTTGTACATCAAAACCATTTTGTTAAAATCAAATTGTTATACTAAATAACCTCAAAATTTTATCAAGAAGTTTGACTAGCTTTGTGTCACTTAATGCTTTCCTCGTCGGAAAGTTTCCACGGTGTACTGTAGTGCTCATACAAATTTCAAACTAGGACCAGTTTAGACATTTAGGTTACGTTGGCAGTATTGTAATATTTAAGGAGAGTGTAGTAAACTGCAGTTTAAATTTTACTTTTTACATACGTATGTAGGTATATTTGAACAACATATTGAGTCACAAACTCAAAATATTTTCAAATAGGATTTCCTTTACCATATTGTAAAGTACATCACATATTCTATATTTTGAGCAGTGGATCAACAACATTCAGGGCTTGTAGACTAAAAGATTAAATGAAAAAATGAATTCATACTCTACTTGTGGTTGTAATTTTTCTTAAATTAGGCGAGCATGAGTGATATTATGAGTTTTACTGTCCAGCTTGCTTTTATTTTTTGTTGTCTTTTTCATGACATCAGACTGCTACAACAAACTCATTTTTTGGTACAGAGACGCCATTAAAATTACCAATCATATTTTACAAACGTGAAATATTTGTACAGTTACGGTCTGATTTAAGAAAGAGGTATAACAACATGTATAAAATTTGATTATGATCTACTCATAAAAACATTATGAATAGTACTTAAAAATATTAAGTCCGGTTTAAATAAATTAAAAAGGCACCTTCAGTTTTTATATGTTTTAGTAAATACTTACTCATATTGTATGTATTATTTATTGATAATATTTCCATTTTATATCTGCAAAATTATGTTACTTTTTTACTTGAACAATAGAAGGAAATTAAAGACCAAAAAAAGGCTTTTCTATTTTTGTTGCATTTAAATCCTAAGAAGATACAAACAGAATCTTTTCCAAATTTAATCTAAAAATGAAATCAATAACTAAATTTTTACTGATAAATATAATAATCACAGCCCAAGGTCAGTACGACTACATATCTAATAATTATTACTGGTATAACGGTATAACTTTTTAAATCTCTTAACAAATACTGACTTTAGGTACTAAATGCTCACTTAATCATACTGAAAATGTTAAGACTTTGCCTTATTGTGTACATGTTACGTATTGCAAACGTTTATTTATTAGGAAATCAAACTCAAAAATACTGATCGGAATTTCGATGCTTCCAAAATGAAAGAAAAATTAGTGTCAGATTTTGTCGAAGTAATGTTATACCAAGCAAAACGTCGATGACTTCTGAATTGTCAAATTAGACTTGCTTGGTTTGGTCAAGGATTTCACTTCTCCGGTTGTTGCTGGTTTCTTATTAGATTTCTCGCAATATGACGATAGAAGAGACGAATACTTCGACGAAATATTGGGAGAGGTTGCATTCCTTTTGTCCTGAAATTAGGGAACAGTCAATAACTTCGAGAAATCGATGTTCAAAATTTGTTGAAGCAGAAATATACGTATGTGATATTTGTATTAAACTTAAACAATTCTTTGTTCCACCAAAGCATTCCAACTTTTTAAGATACAAAAAAACGGAAAACTCTTTTTTTAATTATTATTCCATTTTTCATGCCTCGAATCGATTAAGCTAANAAGCTTTAACATAGAATATTTTTCACAGTGAACAAGTTTTACAGCACGAGGCTGCAGCCCTTCCACTGTGTATTCATATAATTTATTTTCTTAATTTGTGTTATTCTTGATTAAGCGAACATTGTATTTTGCAGGATTGTTCACAAAGTCAGGTCCTGTACTATAAAGAAAAGTAAACGCAAATAGTATATAGGGTTGAGTGAAAGTTGAATAGTGTGATGCATACATCAGAAAGTATAGATATTTATAAAAAGTATAGATATAATATTTGTATATTACTTGCAAATAAATACATATTTTATACTTATTTAAACTACGCGCAAAAATTAACGTAAATTAGTAAAGTGGCAGAAATTCAAAGTTAATTTTCTTGCAAACCACTAAATCGAGTTTGAAGATCTTACTTTTGCAAAGGCGATGTGCTTAAAATTAACTTTTTAATTTCGAATTTTAATCATGTAAGCGACAGGCTGTTTACTTAAAATTTGCAACACGCGGTGGGTTACTATGGTTCAAACAGTTAGGATCTACCGACGTATACACATAAAATAGCCCTATAGTTTTTGATCATTTTGTTTTTTGATTCTCGGTATTGAAAGTAAAATTTCAGTAAGAACACAAAGCAAGCTTTGCAAACAAAATAACTAGAAGATTACATTCAACGTTTTGAAGAAACCAATGATCACAACAAATATCATGGGCAAGGACAAAATTTCAAAGTCTTTAGAGAGCCACAAAATTTTTTCTTGCCAAAACTAAATAGTACTCGCATTTAAATACATTTTTTTGATAAAAAACTAATCTATTTATTCATAAGAAAGAATATCTATTTATTCATTAGAAAAAATATCTATTTATATACAACACTAATTTGTACTTCAATAACAAGCAACTGGGCAAACAAATTCAATGGGAGTGTTGGCTTTGCATGGTTTTAGAAAGTTTGGATAGATTTGGCTCATAACTTTCAAACACGACTCTAAATTTTCTTTATTAGTTGGCTTCTTATTTTACTTTTAATTATATTCATGCAAGGGCTTGCTCGCACGAATATGTCGATCCGAAGATAGTCAGCACTCGACATGCCAATTTCTTCACCTCACTGTAACAAACTGGAAGATTATTGGGATGCGGTGAAAAGCGAGTACAAGTGGCTGAGAGATAGAATCACTGCATAATCCTCGTTAATCAATTCAGAACAATTTTTAAATGTTTTTTTTTTGATAAAATAAATAATATTTTCGTATGGGACTAAAGAGCCGCAGCTTCACATGCAAAGAGCCGCATGTGGCTCGCGAGCCTCAGGTTGCCGACCCCTGGTCTAGTAGAATCAGGAATTTCTTGTGAGAAATATGGACAAATGTGGACTAGTCCACTTTTTTTTTGAAGAAATTGGTTATAGACAACTCGTTTCCTTTATTACATTACTGCTTTGGACTTTACAGAAAAAGTTTCTCAATACGAGTTGCTAAGAATCAGATTATCCATAAGACTGATGTCATACGATTTTCAATAATTTCCAAATTTTCTTGGAAAATGAGGAAGAGTAAAATCTTAAAAAATAAATGTTGAAGTGGAAAAAAGGTAATAAAGAATATTGAAATTTTCACTCGATGTAATGCGAAAAAAAAAAAAAAATATAAACGATGATATCAACCACAATTACATTATACTTTTAGGTATCAATGTTATTGTATCTATAAATAGCGTGTAGTTTATACTTTCTGTTAAGCTTTGAAACGAGTTCAAGTGATGATAAATAATTCTGCACTTCTTAGTCAAAGTTCAAGGTTCGTCAGTTGTCAATATTTAAGGTTTTACAGTAAAACATGTTACAAACACTGAAACTCAAGGCTTTGGGAGAACATTTCTTTCCCTTTTTGCGAAATTAAAGAATATATTAAATTGGACGAGATATATACGAATTTGTTTAAAAGGTTCTGAATTCTTTTGCCAGAAAATCACTGAAAAAAATTAAAAACATACCATTCTGGCAAGTAAAGGTGTCCTATTTTTATACGTTCGAGAAATTTCAAATATTTTCCTAAAATATTTAAGATTTGCAGTCATTTATAAACAATTTTGGAATATTAAATACCACAAATGGCGCGGTAAACGCCATCTGTAGTACGATGCTACATTTTAGGATTACGAATGCTCCAACAAGGTCCACGCACTGTTAAGACAGCAGGTAAAAGTTGGTCTGTGTTCTGTCGGAGCTGTCTGCGACGCGCTGATGAGATTCAAAAAGATCGAAATCGCGATCCGCGTCTGGCAGTTTCGACAGAATACAGACCACTTCGAATTATTTTATTAAAGTTGAAATAATTTTAATGGACCAAAAGTGTAGTTTTGTCAGCGGCTAATGAAATTTTTAGGCGGAATATAACGAAGTTAGTCGTTACCTCGTGAATGGTAAGCTATAATTTAAAAAGAGTACATTAAAATTATTTTAATGAAGAAATCGTAATTAGCACATGAGTCTGGTGCTCCTATCAACGAAACCAGTTCGCACAATAACTAACCAAAATTGTGGTTACTAATGTTAGCGATCTTTTTTCTCAAGGCTAGTGACAGACTTGTTAGGTATTGGGAATCATTCAGGAGGGAAGAGGAGAATGGAAATCGGAAAACAAGACTTATTTGACTTACCGATCACATAGACGTTTTATGATTCATTGTTCAATTTAAATACCAGTTTATTGCAGTAGTTTCTGACAGTGAAAAGTAGATTTAAATTACATTGGCGTTTACCACGATAAAACTGTGTGAAACGTACGACAAATGTCAATACAATCAAATTGAACAGTCATTGGCATCACCAACGAAGGCTTTCGAATCAGCGAACCATTTCAGCTGCGCTACAGAGATTGCGAGGGCCGTGGGCATCGACGCTCGAACCATCTCGTCGCAGTAGAAGACGAAACCTAGATTTGATAGAATACAACCTTCAAACTAGTACACGCAAAATATCACGGAACATTTGCTTCTTTCATATGACAGTGTGGCGAATTTTAAAAGTACAGTTGCTGCATCCTTATCATTCGCAGCGGGTGCAAGCTTTACAAGAAACTGATTTTCAGCTGCAATAGGGTAATGTTTATGGGCAAATATTCCGAGAGACGGAATTTTGAATTTCCATAATAGTTTTCAGTAAATGTGAAGTGTGGAATTTTTGGAGGTTCGCTGTTCCAGGCGTATTTGGCTTATTATAAGAGACCTACCTATTGGCCCTGTGCTCAATGTTGATTATTGTTTCAAATAAAATTTGCCAAATGCTGGACGTTTTTGCGAGAGTGAGAAATAATTTTGGTAGACCTCATAAAGCCTGCCTTGGAGCCACGCTGTTTTAATAAGGAGCAATTTGTGTACTGTACGCATGTGTATATGCTTACTGGTGTTTCCAAAACCAATGTCGATAAGGAAGCGGCATGTTTTGTTTCTGTTTACTTAGGCGTTGGACGACCGGTATTGTTTAGTTTACATTCTATCCATGTGCTGCTGCTCAGTTCTGATAGCAATTTGTTGTACAAACTGCACGTACGCTGCCAAATCACGCTTCGGATTGTAACATGTTGTAGTTCTCTTACTACTTTTTTAGTCCTTTAGCCATGCTGTTATTGAAACCTTCTAAATCGCCACACTTATTTCCGAAACACCCTATACATTCACTTTATAGTTTATAGTATAATTAAATGTAGCTGCTTTAGTACTAAAATAATTCATAAAAAACACTAAGTTCTGTGTTTAGAGTAACTTGTAATGAGCGTAGATTGTTTTATTTTAGTTTTATGGGCTGCAAATTCGTTTTTGATTTGGTGCGATATAAGAAGATAGATGATGTTTCCTTATGTTAGCCTTTGTGAAGTGTATGATTTATAACTATTTGGTAGATGCTGGTATAGATGGTTATAAATTATCAATTACCAAAATTAAATAATGTGAAAATTATTGCCGAGAACATTTTACAAGCTATTGTTTCTTTTCGTAGCCAAATTACAATGTGGTTATCAGTGGTTAGAAGATGTAATATTTCAAACGAGTAATGCAGTTGATGTTGTAACAACCTTAGATTTCCTTCAAGTTGGTTTTTGGGGGCTATATCAAGAGATTGTACCTACTTACCGCGATAATTCTCTCAGGGTACAAAAACCTATAATTAAGAAATATAAGAATATCGGTGAAATATGTGTTTTCATGAGAAAGCAAGGTAAGGGGACAAAATATGCCGATTTCTACGGTCGACTAAAACCAAAGGAAGTAACAACACTTGGTTCTGAATTCAGTGACGCAAAATAGATCATTCAATACGTACAACCAAAGAGATTAATGGTGATGAGAAGTGGGGGCAATTGCAACAATACCGCATTCTTCTGCTTTGGTGGTACAGTACAAATGCTTCAATCAGAAGCTTTACAGATCTACAAATAGAGAGGGACTATAGAGTAACGTAATGACGTATGACTGCGCGAACTGCTTCCCACTACTCTTCATCAGTAGTCTGTTTTGTTGTAATTGGTTAGTCATTTAATGCATAATGTTGACAGATGTTTGTAAGGTGCAGCTGTCCAATAAAAAGTTAATTTAAGCAAATGCTGGAGTAGTAATATTTTACAGACAATCCTTTACTTTATTTTAGGTTAGGTTATATTCGTTATTGAAAGTAATAACTTAATGAATTCTTAATGACTTAATGATAGCGAACGGTTAATTTAGAAATTCGAAGAAGACTGTTAAAGGTCTATACCAGCAGCGTGGCGATGTGTAGGTGTGAAACATGGACGGTGAGAGTGACGGAAAAGAAAAGATTAGAAGCGTTCGATATGTAGTGCTACGGGCGAATGATGGGATACCGTGAATAGAGAAGGTTAGAAATGAAGAGCTATTAGAAACAATAGGTAAAAAAGAAATAGACGAAATAGGTTGGTAAATAGAAACAGCAGTTCAGAGGAGTAGTTGTAGACTTAGATTAGATTACTATTCACAAATAATTAAGGATGTGGGGTGTTCTAGTTTTAAGGAAGTGCGAAGATTAGCTCAGGATAGGAAAGAGTGGAGGTGCGTGTCCAACCAGTCTTAGGACTGACGACCTTATGATGATGACATTAATCAAATTGCGGTTACTCAGTTATATTTAAATGATGTTACAATAAGTGTTTTAAACAATCCCATCGGAGTCCTGTCCGCAGTTCTTATGTTCTTTACAAAGATGAAAAAAGACACGGATGAGAATTTTGTTTTACAATGTTGAAGAATATTTATGACTTAACATAATGTTCATTCTTTATTATGTAATAATTATATATATTGAAAGGTCTGATGTATGCGTTTCTAAGTCAGTACTGGGTTATATAATTCTGGGTATTACATTTTTAAATTATGGATGAAAAAATGTATTTTGCATGCATTTTAAAGGAGTATTTATTNTATTAATTATATAAAGCTTTTATAAGCTTGTGATTTAAGATTTAGAGAGAGTTTTAAAAGTTACGTGTTATGATTTTTCTTCTCATTCCTTGATTCCAAGATATCTGTTCGAACCGGATATTAACTAGAAGTTATGGACATTCGTGAGAAAAATCTTACCTTGCTGTCAGAGACATGACCGTCATAGAGCCTCGCTTTTCCAATAAGTTCAGATTTAATTTGAAGATCCTCGAGAAATGTGTGAGGTAATTGGATTTCTCCACGACGTTGTCGATTTAACGAGTAAAAACTGCAAAAAATCGTATCGTTAGGAGTGCAATAAAAAGTTATTAACTTTTTATAATAACAATAATTGCTTTATTGTTGTATAAATTGGAATTATGATTATAACTGTGTGTGTACGTATGTAGGAAATTCATGTATTTACGACAAGCCATAATGGTCTATGATGTTAAAGATAGTGGATCTTTTGATTACAGAATACTGAACAGAGTAACACTTGCTTGTTTTATACTGTTTACTTACTTCTCAGGTATTACGTACCTATGGGCTTCTACGAAACCAAACTAAATTAAAAAAAGAGGCATCTTAGCAATAAAACAAATAGGTAATTAAAATAGAAATTTATCAAAAAATCATTTTCGATTTTTTAAGTGTTCGTACAATGTTCTACCTCTAGTACAATCATTGAAGTATTGTTTCCATAAAATAGTAAGACGTCGCGTCGTCTATTATATGAAGTGTTTTTTTTATTTGTACCCCCTTCCTTCTTAATGCGATTTGGTAAGATTTCATGAGGTCTCCCCTCTCATTTACTTGAGATTTACTAGAGCAAAATAGGGCACTTAAGTAATGGATGCCTCCTGTTGTATACTGAGATATATATCTTTTTTTGTGTAAATTTGTAGGTTTTATAAATGTTTTCCGTTTTCGAGAAAAACGTAGTTGAAAGTACAAATAAATTCAATTCTGACCCTGCTAAAGAAATACCACCCGCAACGCCGCACTCAATCAGCTGATAATTACCAGCACCACTGAAGTATTTACTTTGCAGTTGCTCATGTATTGCTTATTTGTTAGATTAGATTAAGTGTGATACATGGTTTTCTGTTAACAGTCAACCTCTAGTAGCCGTTTATTCTTTTAATGTTTAAATCTTGTATAAGGCAATCGATGAACAGTTCAATAAACTAATTCAGCAATACAACATCAATTATTATAGTAGGTCAGTTCGTCACTGTAGAACAGTTGTTGTTACAATAATTTGACATACTGAAAATCAGTTAAATCCTTTAAAAGGTTTGAACTATATCGCCGCTGTAGAGACGAAATTCTTGATTTCAAAGTAGACAATCTCCAAAGTAGTACACGTGAATTAGCAAGAGACGTTCACTCCTCTCATGTGATGGTGTGGAATATTTTAAAGGAACAAAGTTTCAGTCGCTATCACTATTAGTACGTTGCAAATTCGCATGTGGTACATCCTTCGCGACTTCAAAAACTGTTTTCGGTAAATGTGTGTGATGGGAAACTTTTAGAGACTTATTTGACTTTTTTGGTTTGATCACATACTAGTTACAATCACTTGCAGAAAAGAAAGGCAACGCACCTTGACAATTTTTTCAATGGTGGTATGGAAATTTGCCTCAATGATCCTAATTACCGACTAATGTTTACGTAACTTCCTTTTTTTCATTCTTTTATGTCCTTACATTTATTCCAAAGCTCCGCACTCAAAATTAAATACATAGGGACATACAAGGTTTTAGAAATAAACTTCATTCATCGGTTTGATTCAAAAGATTTAGTATACCCAGCTATTATAGGTATAAAGGTACAAAAAAGGTAAACAGTCGCAAAAATACAATAATAACGCTGGCTTGCAACGTCACGTACTGTCTTATAAATGTTTAGGTAAATTAATTATAACTCACAATGCTTTTAAAAAGTTTATTATTTTTCCTGCTTTAACGATCAATATGTATGAGGCTGTATTATGAAAAGAACCACAGCTTTGATTATGAAATATACCTTAATAATACAGAATTACAAGGCAGCTGCATTAAACTGACTACCCCTGCTGTTTTTATGTGGTAGGTATTGTAAAGGCGGTTATTTAGCTCAAAAACGATTACTCACTGTTCCACCGACTTACACCATCGTGCATAGTAGGGGGAAGGTAGAAGATTCTTTTCACTTCCTTTAGGAATTATGAGAATGGGTGGGTAGTACTACTTAGGAGGAGAAAATCCAGACTACCCTAACATTTGTTTATAAGATTCAAGGCGACTGAATTGAACCGGTGTTCCAAATATCATCTTCAGCGTATTTCATTCCAATCAGTTACTATTGTCAATGGGCAAGGAGTCCCTTGAATTTACGTTCTAATTCAAAGGGCGGAAGACCCGCTTCGACCTCCTTTTAGGAATTCATGGGTGGGGGTTGAGGAGAGACAAATGAGACCGATGAGATTAAAATATAAGGGAAGTGAAAGATTATCTTCTGTGAAACATTACTGCTCCATACGGTCTCAAGAAATCACAGAAACATCTAGGTCAATGCAGCTGGACCCCGAGCTGTTCTGGAAAAGAACATTTACGACTAATGCTGGTGATTGCATTTTCACTCTACTGCAATGGGCGGAAGATCCTCATCAGCTTCCTTTTAGGCATAGTGGGTGGTTACGTTAGGAAGGACAAATGAGATGGGCGAAATTAAAATAGAAGAAAAGTGAAAAATTAGCTTTTGCGTATCTAATTCCCATCAGCTAATGTTGGTGAGCGGGCATTCCGACCCACGCACACTCTAATTTAGTGTTGAAAGGTAGGACGGAAGACTCTATTCAGCATTCTTTTAGAAATTGTGGGAATTGATGGGTGGCGCCTGGGAAAAGACAGATGAAAGAAACGAAATAAAGGCAGAAGAGAACTGAGTGATTATCTGCTTATAATTACTACCCTAGATTGAACCAAGGAAACCATAGAAGTTGGACAGACAATAGTATGCATTTATTTAGTAGGTAGTAGGTAGGTATGTATATAGGCATCTATGCATTATAGTAGTAGTAAGTGTTTGACGCTGGTAGGACTGAGCATGGCCTGTCCATCCTGTTCTGACTATCCTTCAGTTCTTCGGCACGTTTGAAGGTCATTCTTAAGCTGAAGAAGGTCATTCATCGGCTGTATAAGAAGAAGAAGGGCATTCTTAGGGGCCGACGAATGACACACACATACACACATGGTCAGGGAACATCCCCTACAACCCTTCCAGCGTTGACGTCGCTGTTGCTGCTGTTATGGGGCTGTAAGGGATTTTTATTGAGCATGTGTGTATGTGTGTCATTCTTCAACCCCGAAGAATACCCTTTTTCTTCTACAACCGAAGAATGACCTTCAGCTTAAGATTGACCTCCAAAGGAGCCGAAGAACTGGAGGATTGTCAGAACTGGATGGATGTGCCATCCTTAGTCCTACCAGCGCCATACCTTTACTACACATCTTTTATACTATTTAGACATGTCTCAAAATGTCGAAAAAATACATTGTATTTTAAAATAATACGATACACAACTGAGGCCTGCCCGATCAGTTCCGCTGCTGGTTCAATGTTTCGGTATTTGTCACCCACATATATTTCCTTTTTTCATACATCCCTCTTCATTTTTAGTGGTATTATTTTCCGTTAATTAAGGTATTTTAAATAATATTCACCAGACTAAATAATTATTAATTTAAAAACAGAATTGCTTAGCCATCTATGGAAATAATTACATACCTCTAGCGATTTGGTTGAGCTGAATTGTAAACATCGAACCCAATTGAAACCATAAATTAAATTAAATTATTTTGTGATTTTTTTGTTTCAAATGCTCCACACAGAACGACGAGTACAGGATTCGAGTGAAAGCACTGCATTGAAATTAAATATTTAACGTTAACATGCATGTATTAATTAAATTCACTTGTTTTTGAGTAGCTGCTTTCCAATTAATTAGCAGATTATAATAAAAAAAACAACAAAAAGTAACATTTATGTAATTTATTTACTGTTTGCGGTCTGTGGAGTCCTGAAGCGATGCACATGTCAAAATAAACTATATATATGCTTTTTTTGTATGCTTAAAATTACTTTCCTCTACGAGAAAAACCGTAAAATAAGGAAATTTAGTCGTTTGTTTGGTTAGCGGGGCGCATATTTTGTATTCTATTTTCCAAAAATCATTCTGAACTAGTTTTAGGACAATAAAATAATGTTCAACATATTCAAACCTGAGCCGTAATTTCCTTTTTTTGTTAAACTTATTTAAAAATCGTTGAATGTTTATTTTTTAAATACTTAGGTTAAATATAATAAGTTTTGAAAAACTACAGTTAGAAGCAATAACAATAGATGACGATGTATTACCAATAATTTGATATTTTTTGTATTTGTTAGAGAAAAAAAGTTTTTTAGAATTTGAATACAACTTATTATATAATTCTGTGTGTATCTCCTCGCTATTTTGTGCGTGACTGCTTTCATTTCCATTTCCTTTTATCTCGTTGTTGAATATAAATCGATTCTACAAGCATTTCAGAGGCCCTGTTTCAAGTTAGTTCTTGTATAAGTACTGAAATGTATAATAAACTTCGTTAACTTAGTTTGTAAGCTAATTCCACTTTAACTTAGCAAATAAAGCTTGACTTTAATTTCAGGTGGCATTATTATGTACTTTCGTAAGTATGTAGCATATGTATAGGTGTAATTACAATGGTAGTAGTGAACAGTACAAAACTATTTAAATACGAAGTTACCGCACACTTTTGCTAAAGCTAATTAAAAGTTGCACTAAATACAGCTGTTGTATTACTTTGGAAGTTGGAAGTTACGGTAGCGATAATAAACAGAATATTCATATTTTATTTTTCGGACTATTGAAAATAAAGTAAAAACAATTTTCTATCTTTTTCGAAAGGTATAGTTTATGTCATATGGTTCGTGTTAATATCTGTTGTTTATAATGTAAAATTTATGCCAGGGGCGAATGTTGAAAATATTTTCCGGGAGGATTTTGGTGCGTAAAGCCAAAGCCCCGGATTCGTTCCCGTCGGGTGTGACAACATACATTTAGAACTTATAGTTATTACAGTTTTTGGTACACCAAAAATACAAATAAATTTTATTGCGACTGCAATGTAAAATCAATTCTTCAATAGGACAGGGTTGCTAAATACTGACTGATACGAAATGCCACACAGGTAATTGAGGGAAAAGACAGCTCTTAGTGAGAGGTGAGCGTTAAATAATAAA